TCGCCATCAACCTTTACCTAAGTGCACCGGTGGCACACGAATGTGAGCTCGATAATGCACAGGCAATGGCAAGTGGCAGTGCCAACGCTACGGCCGTTGCTTCTTGGGGTACCTTAGGGATCGTTAAGTTGTAGCCAAAGGCTGTGTACCTTCATAATTTATCCGTTGATGACCCTTGTTCTTCACATCCGCCTTTATTTAGACGGGCCAATGGCACTGGGGTACGTATTGAGCCTACCACCCGCACTTGCCAGGGTGTGTAGACTGTACAGTTTCGTAGTGCACAGCTAAGGTTATATGCGAAATGCCAAGCTGCAACTGTTCAGTTCATCTGTCTGCCATCAATCTTTACGTATGTTCACCAGTGGGCTCCGAATGTGAGCTCGTCCTCGCACCGGCTACTGGAAGTGGCAGCGATACCGCTAGAAATGTTGCTTCTTCGGTTACCGTAGGGCACGTCAAGTAGTAGCCAATGGCTATGCACCGTTATAATGTATTCGTTGAGGACCCTTGTTCTCATCCGCTTTTCTCTAGAGAAGCCTGTGGCCCAGGAGTCCGTTTTGAGCCCACCACACCCATGGGCCAGTGGGAGTAGCCTGTACGGTTTCGTAGTGGACAGCTCAAGCAATGTGTGGAATGACAAGCTGCACAACTAACGTTTCTTATCTGTGCTTCATCAAACGTTACCTAGGTACGACGGTCGCGCGCGGATGTGAGTCAACATGGCATACCATACTTGCTGACTATGAAGCACCGTATATCGCATTCTCTTGAGAGTTCAGATCAAACATGGTAGTAAAATACGTCTACACAGGACATAACCAAGGACCAAAGGGAGCATTCCTTCCTAGAAAAGACTCCAAGGACGCCATAAAGTGTGCAATGACCTAAGCTGACTTACTTCACAGTTTTCACATAATGGTCTGTTAGCCATGTTCGGGTCTGTTAGATGCCTCTGTATCGTCCTTGTGTATCTTCCGTCAAGTGCATCATGTTTAATGGTACTCTTGGTCGATTACTCCCACACTCGATCTGAGAATCATGTTCCAAGAAAATACTTGCCCGTCGTCTACCGAGTAAGCATCCGCCATAAGTCGAAAATTGCTGTTAAATAATATTTTCTTTCTACGTTCCACAGCGGAAAATCAGGAAGGGTGCATGGAAGAATGATATAGGGCGCCAGCGAAAGCCCAAATTTTTAAAAAAGCCGTTCTTGCGTCGAGCAACGGGTCTTCCATCAGGCTTAATCACTTTTAACCGACATACTTAGGGAAGCAATTGAGACGAGTGAGCACCTCGGTTAAATCGCTCGGCTTAGAGGTTTAGACACGGATGCTTAATATGCCCTTGTTATTTTTCAAGCATTTCATGTAGGGGGTAGGCACTTACTGCGACATGAGTGAATGGTCAGTATTTTACGTAAAGGGCATCCCAGGAAGCGAGAAAAATTAGTGCACATTGGAAACTAACTTTTCTGTTTACTTATTTTTTTTTATCAGGTATGTGTGCCATGCGGCATTGGTAGACAAATATTGAATTATTTTCCTACGCTGAGCATAGGGTTTCGTGCTTTCTTTTTTTGTTACTGTCAAGTTTCACTCATGGCGTCGGCCGCGTCTAGGCTTATAGGCTTAAAAAGGAAGGGGGGGGGCTGAATAGTTTCTTGAAATAAACGAGTTAGAGGAGAATTCTAGAGTATTTTTTATTCCGTGAATCTGAATACCACGTTCGTTTTCTGAGGAGATGTAATTAAACGCAAAAGATAACAAAATCCCTCTGAACAGTCGTTATGCTAAGCGTGTTTTACGTGCAGCGATTTTGGCCCTCGAGCGGCGCGATTTCTGCCGTCGCGGCGCTCGTGCCGCTCAACCGCTGGTGCTGGCCAGAGAGCCGCGACGGCAGAAATCGCGCCGCTCTAGGGCCAAAATCGCTGCATGTGAACCAGGCTTTAGACTCAGATCTCTCGGCCGCCAAGATCGTGTTGCTCGTGTGGGCAACAAGTGTAATCACAAGCGTGCATTGTCACAAGTTGCGACGTCTTTATTTGACCTTTTTTTTAATCGCAAGAGTGTGCGTGCATAGGTTTGATAGGTATCGAAGGTGCGTGAGAGCGGAAATTTCGATAGGTCTGGATACGACGCCACGCTCCGGGAAGGAGGGGCTCCAGCGGTAGTTTGAAAATTATTTCGCGCAGCTTCCGTGGACCAAATTAAAAAAAAATATATATATATATATATAATCTCGATATTCGTGGTCCAGGAGTCTAATTCAAGACTACTCTAGTGTCTTTTTTGCCCTAAAACCCAGAACCGTCTTAGTTTCCTTTTAGGAATAAACGAAGTTTACCACGTGGAAGTTCGTCTGCTTTTTGCGCACCTCGCGCGTTTGTTTACCCGCAGAATGCACCCACGTGCGCTCATTTCCCGCCGACCTCAACCGAAGATAGCGCGAGCTTCGCTGCATCATCAAGCGTTATCTAAACGTTCACTGTGCTGCCCTTTAATTGGCGTGCCCCTCTTCGCGTTTCTATGTGCCAAAGACGCATTTTAGTACTCTTGCTTGGCGTATAGATCGCTCCATATATCGCCTTCTGCGAGCTGCCATCTTTGGCTTCTGGGCTCAGGAACGATCTCTCAGCATGCGCGGTAGCCTTGTTGTGTGGTATATCAGACGCTGGGAATGAGTCCACAGCTCAGTGATTCAGCATATTTCGCCAGAGTGAAAAGCGCTGCAAGGTCTACGCGGAGTTCAAGTGCGCCTCCTTCTTGAACAGGGCTGCTGTAACGTCAAAACACCGAGATCTGATTGGCTCCGATTAAAAAGATAGTGGGTAGACCTCGAGGCATCCTGTGCAAATAGCAGACGACTTGCTCTTCTCATAGCTTATATTCGATCTGACAGCGCAGTCATTCCTCCTCCTTCCTCCTTCCCCGTGTCCACTCTTTCATCTTGGCTCTTTGGCACTCCCGCGACGATGGTAGCACCACATAAATCGTTTCAAAATAGCACTCTTCAACAGATGTCGTTACTTTCACGTAAAAAATACCTGCATCATAACGGCCTATTTTGAAACACTCCTTTCTTTTCTGTACCATCGCGAAAAATTGTTTCAGCCACAATACGCAAAATGAATAGAAGAGGTTGTTCAGCGAAGGGCCACCGGGCTATGTGATTGGTGGTGGCTTCAGAACTTGTTCGCCTGTACCTGCCGCTCCTCCATTATTTTTAACCGCAACTTGGCGGTGTTTTGTACTCTCGCAGAAACCGCAGGCGTACGCGACGTTCACCACCAAGGTCGTCACTGCGGTAGTCCTTCCACGATTGACCAATTACTCACAATGATAAATAGTTTCTTTATAAGTGTAAATTGAAGGAATTTGAGACTACAAACCAATACTTCGTTTCACTTTAGGTCTAGACGTAGCCGACGCTACGAGTTGATGGGACCAATCGGACGGCGTCAAACGCGAACCATCATGGTGTTCTTTATATTCCTGTGCGTGTTCTATCGTTGCTGAAACAATCGTAAATAAACAATAGGCCTAGTTACTTGCGCTTTCGACGCTGCTTGATTGACTCTGGCTGTGTTCCAAAATTTACTCGATCCGACTCCGGAGTAAAGGTTTCGTACCGTGGCGTTCCAAAACTTACTCGAGCTTACTCGATGACGTCAGGACTCGCGTTCCAGAAGCGGGTTGTTTACTCCGGAGTAATTACTCGCGGTACCCTCCTCGATCGGGGGGTAAAGTCGGATCAAAGCGAGTAAATACGTCACGTGATCTGTTCGTCGTCTGCTTTCTGCGCCGACAGCCGTCAAAGCTCGCTTGCTTCGTTGGTTTTGGTGGCGGACGTTCGAAATGACAAAGAATTAGGTGCAGCTTGTGTGGTTATTGCGATTTGCTGCTGTCAACGCAGGAATCGACTGCATTACATCCAGACCGTCCACCTTCCCCGGGAACGTGTACTTGTTATTATCTGAGTGCGAGCGTAAACAGGAGCTTCTCCGCATCCTCGTCCTCGGCGTTGGGGGATGCCGTAATCTCACGTTCAAGGCCGAAAATGTTTGAACTCGTTATATGATAATGTAATATTTTTGTTTCCTCCAGAGTGTGAGTAATGAGAGGATAACGTTTGTAAAGCAGTGAAGGCTTCGAAAATTTCACTGTAATCACATTCGCGTCAAAGCGAACGTGAGTTTCATATTCTGGAGAAAGCACCCTCGCGCTGGACCGCTACACCGTGTGGAATATATTTCTGCAAAACATAATCGGTGCAAATTACAATGCGTGGAATATATGCGTTTAGGGCACCGTGACTAGAATTGCAGCGATCGCGTTGATTAATAAAAATACATTTTTTTATGTCTAGCTGTAAGGAGTAAGTAATTTTGATTTCAATATACAGCTGAAGGTGAGTAAAAGGAGCTGGTAGATCCACCTCAAAAAACACCGCGTCGTCATTAATATTACCGTTCTTCGGGTGCTTTCTCCATGTTCAAAAGGATCGTCTGCTATTTTCTGCCATCGCTGCTGTGTTTTTGCCGTCGCCCAAGACGAAGCCATTCCGCGTAGTATCCAGGTGATTATCCTGGCCGTTCCAAACTCGAGTCGCGGATCGTTTACTCGCGATGTCACGTGGTATTACCCGCTGACGTAGGAGGCAGGTTACTCGGGTAAGATTTGGAACATAGCCTCTATCACCTCGTAGCTTTGGCTGCGCCTTGACACAAAACTGAAACCAAGTATAGGCGATGTTGTTTTAAGAATGCGATAACTTTAAGGTTAAACCGTGCCTTTCACGCACACAATAAAAATATTCCTGGCAATCGATAGAACTGCTCGTGACGTCGCAAAAAAGAGTCATAAAAGGGAGACCCCGAAACACCACGTCGCCAATAGAGGAGGCTATTGCACATGTCGGATGTACAGCACCAGTCATTCTATGAGTGAGGCTGCTCTCGCCAGCACCACTGACCGCACGTGCTAGCCGCATGCACTCACGGGCAGGAACATGTCCCGCACGGTGCTCGGGATGTAGGCGGGCCCGGTGAAAATCTCCTGAGTCTTCGCGCATTGCACGATGCCCTGGATGAGGATTACGTCGCGCACAGCGTCGTCCAGTGCAAAGTCGATGGCGTAGTACAGGTTGGGCATGATGCCGTTCTCCAGGAATCGCTTCAGCTTGTCATGTGTCCACTCCTGCAATGTCGAGCGCCGTTTGAAAATGCAAGTCAAATGCACCAAAGAAAGCTGCCTTTCTCTTTAGCACATACCAGGGGAGCTCTACATGCGTAGCATAGAGGGTTCATCTGTGATGTCATTGCGTCTCCTCACACAAGGCAGGGCAATATTGAGATTCGAATGTATCGCGATTGTATGCTAGAGATTCCTTTGGATATATTGGCGTCTATCAAGATACATCTAAAAATGCATTTAGATGGAATTTAGGATGTATCGCTCGTATCCCGATACTCTCCCAGGCTTAGGTATTTCCTTACATTTGTTACGGAATACTAACTGTCCTTTTTTTACGATAAATTTATAATCACGTTTTCGGTGGCAGACTTCTACAACTTTAAAGGTAGCAATTCGTAACCATGTCTTTCTTGGGAGAAAGGAGGTTGAAATTCTTGTTGCAGCTGGTATAGCGTAAAGAGTAGCCCAAAGCTGAGAAAAATTAAAAGCAAAGCACAAGACAACAAGTGACCGTGGTTAGGAGAGAGGTCTCTTGACAACCTTCTACCTCAAGGTCTTTTACTGTTTTTCCTTTGGCGGAGTGGACGTTGGAAAAGACGGGAGTATAGAGGATTTCATCAGTTTCGGATATTAACAACTTTGGGGAGGGTTTTTTTACTCCTATGTTGCAAAGGGTTCCATTCATGCTGACTAATGTGAGCGCAGATAGACCCGAGCCCGTTGTCAAATCTCGCCGCCCTGCACTCTAAGAAAAAAAAGAGGAGAAAGGTAGCGACAGCGACTGTTCCTCCTTGAAAAAACTGTGAGTGCGCAGGCGAGCTGGTGGATGTTGATCATAATGTAGAAAACCCGAGACTGCGGTAAAAACAAGAAAACGGAGTCGAAGGAGAAAGACAGGGGAAAAGACGTTCTTTTCCCCTGTCTTTCTCCTTCGACTCCGTTTCCTTGCTTTTACCACAGTATCGGGTTTTCTACATTACGTTCCTCCTTGTTGCGGACAAGTTGCCCAGAGAAGGGAGGAAAGGAAGTTCAGATGAAAGGTGAAGGTCGAGGTGCTCCTTGTTCAGTTGGCGCAGGGGTAAAACGTCGCGCTACTGACCAAGTGGTCAAAGGTTCAATCCCCAGAGGAGCGTTTTTTTTTTGTTTCTTTTTTCGTAATTTTTTCTTTTTTATTTACCAAAACACACGTAAACAAACCCAGACCGATGAAAGGAAAATTAAAATCCTTATTATTCACCGAGACGTTTTCCTCCTTCTCCAGGCAGACCGGAAAAAGCTTTCGCCCTCGCGACTCATCTTCTTTCGGTTTCGTTTTTTCGAGCACATCGCGCACGTTGTTTCATAAATTAATGTTGAGTTGATTGAGCTTCAGCGGCGGCAAAGGCCGCCTGCAATTTCGTCTTCTAGTCCAAACGTGCAGAACATTTCGGTTGCATTGACGTTTTTACCACTAATTTTATCAAACGAGTTAACGAAGCCGCTAGAAACAGCGAAGTTCCGGAGCAGTGCCAGCAGCGCTACATACACTGGGTAAGACGGCCGTCTCCGATTTGCGGGACACACGCGGAACTACAGCAGCGAAACCACGAGGAAGTGCGTCTTCGTTTTCGACGTTATGTAAATTGCGGGAACTGCGTCCAAGGTAGGCAGGTTTTCCTGCCGGCTGCCTGGGTGCCTTCCGTGCTGAGTTCGGTTCTGTTGTCCCGTGCCGAGTGCCAACCGGCGTTCAACGTGATTCTGTATTTCTGCGCGTCAGCAACATCGTCAACGTGGTTCAGTATTTCTGCGTGTTAGCGACATAATGATGGCAGTGTTGTGGGTTGTGAACAGAAGACTGGAATTATCGCCGATGTGACCGTGTGTTAGCGTATCAGTGGTGTAACAACAAGATGAGATGACGTAAACTGTCGGGCATTGATGCCGCTGATCGGGCCGTGATCGGAGGGGGCGGGGTGTCGCAGGATGACATTCCGCTTTACATTAAAGAGTTTAAAACCACTTGAGGGATTAGGTGCAGTCGATCGACGTGTGGATAGTCATGTTGGAACGCTGGTCTGAACAGCAAGCTCCTGTCGTACAGTGGCCAATGTGACTGTCGGTCCCCGAGAGCGATTGCGCTCTGGGGAAAAGACTGAACAGTACAAAATTATGACGGAGAGTACGTATATTTACAATGGAATTTTCGCATAAAAAAAAACAGGTAAAATCGAAAAAAACGCTATCCTTTATTTTTGCTGTTTAAATATATTACGGTTCCTGTAGAAACTGCCCTCCAAGTGGGCCGCTGGGATGAGCGCTAGAAATTTTCAAGGTCGCAACGGTGTAGCTCCGTACACTTAACATTTGCCACAAGTCGCGGCTTTGACTGCATTCAAGCTGATCGAAAAGCGATTTATCGGCCCATGAAGCATCACTTCCAGCTGAGTGAATATCCGCTCTACAAAGATTAATTCAAGACGGCAATTGCAGCCGTGCACGAACAGCACAAATAGAAAAACAAACACTACAATATAAGTACTGGCTACGAAGGGCCGTGCGGGAAAACAAACTCATGGCTTGGAACCACATTGGAGCGGCTCGATTTATTGGCTATCAAATAATTACGGCATGATGGAGCGTTTTCTTTTTAATAAGAGATTCATCCCTTGAGCCATTAAAAGTAGTCTCAGATGTATGAGATTGCTGGAAAAAAATGAACATGTTCGAAATACTTTTGATTGCTTAGGGAGTCACCGAAAAATTCCGTACGTTCAAAACGACCAGTATAAAAGACGGAAACGCAGGGCTCGGGAGTAGTGGTCGGGATAGTGTGCTGTTGTATTGACATTCCTGTTTCCGGCACTCGTCGAGTACGGACGCACGGATGGCTGGCTCCGCGGGAGCTGAGATAACGGCCTTATCGGGCCGCGGTTTCGAGACATCTGCTGTTCCTCAGGATTATCGGATTGTACTGCCGCCCCTGCCAACAGGTATCATCATGCACAACAGCATTTTTCTGCACTGCGATGTCTCGGGAAGGCCGTACAAGATTGGCGACTTCAAACCAGGGCTTCAGAGCGTCAGCGTCTTGCAAGACCTCAAGGCATTTGGTTCCTACCAGATGAACCATGTTTGGATTGCTACCTTCCGCTCACTGGCATGAAAGCAGAAGATCCAGGACGCAAAAAACCTGCTCGTCAAGGGAAAAAGGTGCCTCGTGCTGGACCCCAACAAGGCTGAGGTACGCTTAAAACTGCACTGGGTGCCGTGTGACGTCCCTGATGACGGAATCCGGAGGGCTCTTGAGCCTTACGGAACCGTTCAAGGTGTTGTTCGTGAAAGCTGGCATGAAGACGGCTTCCAAGGCGTGGAATCTACTACTAGAGTGGTGCGTCTGAAGCTCAAGGACAGCGTGACCTTAGAAAGGCTGCCGCACCAACTGCGCATGCCGCACGGCTCAGTTCTAGTCATCGCCCCGGGGCGCGCACCAATGTGCTTGCGTTGCCGAAGGACAGGACACGTTCGACGTGAGTGCAGAGTGCCCCGCTGCGAACTGTGTCGGCGCTTCGGGCACGAAAAGGACGACTGCGTCACGAGCTACGCTACAGTCACAGAAGGTGCGACCGGAAAGGATGAATTCGAAGACATTATGGATGAGGAAGAAGCTGAAGTCGCGGCAGGTGGCAGCTTGCCGGCCAGTAGCAACATGGACGTGCTGTGCTCCTTGGAAGCGGAAGCTGCAAAGGACAACACCCCCTCTCCGCCTGCCACTCCCTCGGCCTCTCCGGTGTCTACCGCTCCTGCGAAGGAAAACACCACGAACAGCAGTGCAGAAGTCAACGCATCTTCGAAGACTGCTTCAAACCGCCAGGAGGACCGCCCCACCGGCCAGGACCAGAGCACAGACGTCAAGCCGATGCAAGCTGCACCGACAGACACTGGCACGGCTGTTCCGAAGTTCAGGAGCTGTGAAGACTGGGCCAGCACGGATGAAGACGGACAAGCGCTACCGGACCAGCGCCTTAAATGGAAACCAGTCAGCCAGCGGAATTTTCGATACGACCCAATGACCCGGATCCCGACTGAAGCTCGTCGGCAAAAGGACTCTCAGTAGGTTCTTGCATGCACTGTGATGCTTTCTGGCGCATTTCTTCTTGTTTGATGCATAACCCCCTTGATATGAGTGTGGTGAGGAAAGTACTTGCATTAACTCGCAGTGTTCTATTTAAAAATAGTTACTTTCAATTGCGTTAGCTTAATTGCACGAAAGAGACAACAGTGGTTACTGAACACCCTCTTAGCAGAAAGAGTTCACGTCGCACTACTGCAAGAAACTAAATTAACCGCTCAGCATGCTAATCAGGCCGTCCAATTTTTCGAAAACCACTTTGAACTCCGGTATGTCAACGCCATTTCACATAGTGCGGGGACAGCCGTACTAATTAAAAAGAAAAGCGGCATTACAGTATTCCCTGAATGGGAGACGGACCGGAGTGGAAGAATTTGCGCTGTAGACGTGCTATACAATAATGAAGCTATTCGGATAGTCGCAGCGCATGCGCCAAACCAACCGACAGAAAGAAAAGGTTTTTTTAATCAGCTCCGACAGTATATCAGCACTCCGGCACACACACTACTGGGGGGTGATTTCAACTGCGTGACTCGGGCCAAAGATTCGTCGAAGGGACTTCGACAGGACTCCAGCATAGCAGAACTTAAGAAGCTACTTAGAGATTTTGATTTGCAAGACGTAACTGAATTTGTACAAGCACCATCTCCCGGATACACTCATTGGCAAGGGGAATGTCACTCGCGACTAGATCGCATATATGCTTCGAGTGGCTTGGCGGCCACCATACGATAGCCTATAACGTTATACCAGTAGCTTTTTCAGATCACGCTCTTGTTACGGCGCAGATAGGGAAGGAAAAGGAAAAGCAAAACTGCGATTCATCCTGGAAAACGTGGAAACTAAACGAAAGCGCGCTTGAGGAGGAGGAGCTTCAACAAGAGCTAAAAAGGCT